CTGCAAAATTAAAATCAAACTCAGATCATCTTTCTGTTTTCTTCTTCTTGTTCTTTCTCTCTCTCTCTTCTCCCTTCTTCCTCCCCAGATCTGGGTTTCAAAAGAAGGTGATCTCATCGCAGATCTGGGTTTCAAAAGAAGGTGATCTCATCGCAGATCTGGGTTTCAAACCCACGTCTGCAGATTCTGGGCGACGTACACCTCAAAGCCAATTGATCAGCCTTACTTTTCTCAGCCATTATCAACTCTCACCACTGGCACAAGATAAAGTAATAGTATTCCTGTACAAAAAATCCCAATCTCGATCCTCCATAGTTACAGAAGTATCAAAAACAAAAGAAATCAAAGAATCAAGACAAGGCATGGAAGACCTCTACAGTCTGGGCGATTGATGAGGCGGAGGCTAGTGTAGGGTATTGGAAGCTCCGCCACACCGAAAACAGCTGTCGTCTTCTCCCTTTCCTCTTTCTCAATCCTTCGAACCCACCCCTTCTTCTCCCTTCTTCTTCCTTTCCAGATCTGGGTTTTCTGAAACCCACCCCCTTCTCAGTCGCTCACTTATACACCAACCCTGCACACACCCCATCTGTACCAAACCCTCAAACTCTCACACAGAGATCTGTGCCAAACCCTCAAACTTTCCAGATCTGGGTTTTCTGAAACCCACCCCCTTCGCACACACACGAAACCATTGCCTACACACGCCTTCTCTCTCGCCGACCTGACCCAACCCGACGTCGCCTGAAAGCCCTTAACCTCGCCTTCTCCTCCTCAGTTCTTTCGCCCTTTGGAGCTTCCTACGCTCGCCATATCAGACGATGCCGGAGAGATACTCCGGTCGCCAAGAAGATGGATCTGTTCGTTTGAGGGGGTTTATTGAAGATGAACAGGTAGAAATTATAAGGTTTAGGGTTTTGAATTTGAAAAGGAAATGAAAAGAAACGAAGATAATTGAACTGTGATTTTTGGGGAACTTGATTGAAACTGGAAAAGGAGAAAACAAAATTTTCATGTGGGCCCCACCAAAAAGAGAAAGTGAGAAGATGATAATTTGACGTGTAAAAAACTGCCACGGTGTCAAAAATGTCGTTGTTGAATTTACACGTCATTAAAATTAAAAAAAAAAATGGTGATTTTGTGGCATTTTAACAAGCCACTTGGCATTTAACTGACGGAAGGATCATTTTGGTACCAAAAATGAAAGTTTAAGGATAATTTTGGTACTTTTTAAAGTTAAAGGACAATTTTGGTGCCAAAGTGATAAGTTGAGGGACTAAAATGGTACTTAAACCTATTTTGAGGGTGAAAAACATGAAAGGCTTCCCCTCCGTCAACATCACAAGAGAAAATTATTTTTTTAAAAAAATGGCCTTCCCCTTTTATCTTTATCTTTACATGTGGAACATAACATCTGTTTTAAATTAATGTCTGACTTTTTTATTTTTAACAAGTTGTCAAGGGGAGCGGGTTCAAAATCCGCCCATTAAAGAAGGGGAATGCACTTCAAGCTGACAGGATGCCAATTGGTTCGAAGGGTCAGGCGCAAATTAATGTCTAACTTAACGATTAAGAACTTAAAATTTTAAATTAAAATTTTTAAATTCAAGTTTAAAATTAGGTGAAAGGGATTTGATAATAAGAGGGGGTTATTTTTATCTTTATTTTTTAAAAAAATGGCATTTCCTCTTTATCTTTATCTTTACATATGGAACATAACATATGCTTTAAGTTAATGGCTAACTTAACAATTAAGAACTTGAAACTTTAAATTAATGGTCAACGACTTAAATAATTTAGTAGTTATCTTTTTTCGTTGAAAGTAAGAGGTCCTTAGTTTGAATCGCATGACATGCAAGTGAGGTGGAAGAAGGAATGGGAGATAGTTGCCTCCTATTGTGTAACTAAAAAAAAAAATCCTAAATTTAAACTTAAAATTGTTGTACATATGATTTTGTTGATTACAAAACACATTTGAGTGACTAATTGATTCATTTAGGTGTGTAGTTAAATTGTCAAAAGATTGTAAAATAAGTAAATTTGAACTGCATTAAAAATGGACCAAAAGACTTGAAAAATGTGCAGAGAGGCGACTCTTAAAACCTACAGTCGGCTTTGGTGAAAGTGAATGTAGAGAATCGGCTCTAAGAGTTGCAGCTGGCTCTACGAGTGAAAATTTCAAGTCCGTCGTTTGGCGCGTGCGAAAAACAAACGTAAAGCCAGCTCTGACTTTGCAGCCGACTGTGATGATGCATTTAATGCATAACGGTCGAATTGTTTGAAGATTATTTAATATATTTAAAGTTGGAATCCTAAATCTGGCTTTATGGTTTGCAGCCGACTGTTCAAGAAAAAAAAATGTGCAAAAAACACGAAAAGCCGGTTGCAGATTTTTTAAGTTGGCTGTGGAGCTGGCTCTAGAAATGTAAGTCGACTATGCTGACAATTCTGCAACTCAAACTATGCGACCTGCAGAGCATTTAATGACCCATAATAGTTAGAAATGATTATTTTCTAGTAAGGGACTATAAATATAGTTGGTAACAAATCTGGAATAAGTTTGAAGAGTTTTGTATTGAATATCTCTACCTACCAATTTATGCTTTAACTTGAGTATTTGATCTTTAAATGATTTTTGCTTGTAATTATCTTCTTGTTTTATTTGTGAGTGATCTTGAGGGTGTGATTATTCCTTCAAGAGTGATTTGTAGAGAAGATTATTTCAGTTTATCTTGTAAAGAGGTAAGATTTGAAAGAAATACTTATCTTCTTGTAAAAGAATTGAATGACTCCTTTAAGCCACCCTTGTTCTTGATAGTGAAGAGTGTGAAAGAAATCTTTGGTGAGTGAAGCCAAGGTAGAGAACTAGGTTCTAAGTAGTTGAACCGAATCTCTATAAAATTATTAAGCAAACTCTTCTTTCTTACTCTCTTTAATTCTTTATTTTGTGGTTGCAAATAGAAGGAAAATTTTGAACTTCAATTCACCCCCCTCTTGGAGTGCATTGAGTCAACAAGAATAAGGTGAAAGAGATTTGACAATAAAGAAGAATTATCCCTTCTTATACAATTCATAATCAAATGTACTAAAAAGAAAATAACATGTGCTTCATTTCGTAGGCTGTGGTCACGGACACATTTTATAACGTTAGAGTTATATCATTTTATTTAATAGATTAAAAGTAATTTATAAATTAATATAAGTTGATATTTTTAAATATTATTATTAATTATTTAGAAAGTTATAAATTAATAAAATATCAATAAAATTAAACAATATTTATATGTTCTAACAAAATAATATGTAACGAAATCTATATCTTATTTAATCAATAATCTCTTTTTGTTTACTATGTATTTTTATTGGTACATTTCAGGCATGTTTGGTTGCCTACTTTCTTTAAAAAATAATCTAGGGAGGTTGACAAAAAGTTTTGAATGACTTGGCTTAGGATATTTATTTTCCTGGTATAAAAATTGAGGTGTAATATAATTAATTATAATAAAAATGTAATTCACTCTATGCCAACTTTAAAAAAAAAAGAAAAAGAATAACTATCTTTTTTCAAACTTTTTTAGTTGGAAAGTTATTATAATTAATTATATTTTAAAACTAAACAATTATATGCTTATAATTAATTATATATATGATATAATTAATTATGTACTTATACAATTACTTATGTAATCTATTATAATCAATTATATTTTACTTCAATTTTCATATCAATAAACTTAGTATCTTGAGAAATGCTGAGTAGACTAAATGGTTACTCCCCATAGAGTTTTTCGTCAAATTTGCGTTTAAGGCATCCCATTATCCAAAAACCTCCTATATGTAACCCTGTTAAAAAAAAAAAAAAAAAAAAATCTTAACATCCTAAGACGAGCCATCAAATATTTTTGCTCGGCTTTCACAAATTCTTTTTCCTTTTTTTTTTTTTTTTATCTTACATAAATTCTTTTTCTAGAGAAACCGTACAACCGAATAGGCCCTCAAGTAAGTGCCGTAGGCCGTAGCCAAGGCCCTCGCTTCTTGAAATTTTTAAAAAAGTATTTTTTATCATAAAATAATTGTTATTTTTTTAATTTTTTTAAATGAAAATTTTTAATAATAATTTATATATTTATTTATATTATTTTAAAAAAATTAAAAGATAAAATTAGATTTTATGTGGTAAAATAATTAATTAAAATAAATAAATAATGATAGAGTTAAACTAGAAAAAATATTTATTTACTTTAAAAAATAAAAAAATAATAATTAATTTAAGACAAATTCAAAATAAAAAAATAATTATTTTAAAATAGAGAGAGTAATAAAAGTCTTATATTAAAAAAAAAGTTGTTTGAAAAATAATATACAAAATGTTTAAAAGTATTATTTGAAAAATTATTAACTTTTATAATGAAATTTTATTAAAATCTTGTTGAGTTATTAACTTTATTGTGTTTGAAATGAATTAATATAAGAAAAGTTAGTAAAGAAAGTAGTTAAATGGGCTTAATATATATAAAGATAATTATAGAAAATCTTTTTCCTTATAAAATAGGTAGAAAGAAAATTTCACATATTAAGAATTGTATCAGAAAAATAAAAGTAAAAAATGTCATTTTTACCTTTATTTTTTTGTAATTTTAATGTATAAAAATACAAAAATAACCTTATAAAAGAAAAAATTTGGAGAATATTGATGGAAAAAGTTTCTCCAAACCAAACGCCCCTATTTCCTTAACCCTTTGAATAATTGCAGTAGTTTATTTATTTTTATGAAATCTCTATTAACGCAAATTTTATAATAAATTATGTAAATAATTCAATAATAATCTATTTTTAATAAAAAATAAATAAATGTGATAAGCTAGATCAAAGGATAAAATAGAATTACTTTTCATTTATACAACCTAGGGTCAAGAGAAAAAAATATTGCAAACTTTACTTGACTATAAAATATAACTTTAATATTAAAAGGCTCATTTCACCTAATAATTTAATTGTCTAGTAGATTAAAAATTTTAAATTTAAACCTATAATTCAAATCTTAAAATGAATTAAAAAGGTCAAAAAAAAAAAAACCAACCTATTTCATATTATATGCCCCTATGATCTAACATAGAAAAAGAATAAATTAAATCTTGTAGTCTATTGCAATCTAATATTTGGAATAATAGAGTCATATCATAGAATTATGGAGCTTTGCAAATTGCAAAAAATGAGTTGAACAAGCTCCCTTAGAAATCACAAGATATCCAGAGTGGCTCCTGAAATTGACCCCTCAGCTTCTCCCCAACCACCTCACCATCAAATCCCAAACAGAGACGCCCCATGTCCAGCTCACCTCCACAATGCCACGCTGGCGTCCCATTCTCAAATCCATTACACGTCAGCCTCATCAGTCCACTCCCATCCAACGTCACCACGAACAGATCTCCGTAAGGTTGAAATTGATTCGGCCACGACACCGGCTCCGCCGTCACTCCTCCCAAGTTAGCCGTGAACACCAACCACTCTCCGTCGCTACTAAAACAAACGTGGTTGATCCTCTCCCTATCCACCTCACCCGATCCCTCTGCTCCCCCCAAGTGGATCCTCCTGAGATCGGAGCCGTCCGGTTTGATGACGTAGATGCTGAATACATCTGGATTATCTGGCTTATGCATGTTGGAAGAGAAGGCGATGAGATCGCCTTTAGGTGACCAGTTCGGCATGGTGTCAATCCAAGGACCATTCGTTAATTGTCGGATGCCGCCATCAAATTCGCCTTTCACGGCGTCGAGTATGTACAGATTCTTGTGCCCAGACCGGCCGGAGCGAAACACGATCGATTTGCCGTCGGGAGAGCAGGACGGGAAAGCGTTATTTCCTGTGTCTTCCCTTGTGAGTATCTTCACATCGGAGGGGATTTCTGCACGATCACCGTTGAGATCTCCAAGGTCAAATGTGATTCGTGCAATCTGGACCGTCGTTTTTGCTGACTCAAAAATGGGGCCCAGAGAAGTATAGATTACGTTTTTTTCGGTGGGACTCCACGAGTTGTAGAAGGCTGTACGGTCTTTGATCAAAGTCCATCGTTTTGAACCGTCCGATTTAACGATTTTAATACCGGCATTGAGGTCAAAGTCTCTGTTGAAGGCTATCAGATCACCGTCCGGTGAGAAGGAAGGGAAGTTGCCGTTGATTCTCAGCAAGCGAATATCTCTGATCGGAGACTTGATAGGGTCGAGATGTGGGATTGTAGTCTCGCCCTGAGTTGACTCACCTCTGAAACGGTGGTACCCGAGCAATGTGGAATCGGGAGAGACAAACGGATTGTAGTGGTGGAAATTCGGATTGATCAACTCGGAAACCGGGTAAAACACCTTCGACTCGAGATCGAAAATCTCTATGTGTCTGTAATTCTTGTCACGCCGCCGAGTCGCGACGGCGAGTCGTTTTCCATCGTGGAGTGCTGCCGGAGTGAAGCAGTGCAGACCGGGTGGGGTGACCCGGATGGGAGCAATCGGAAATCCAGAAAATTCAGGGGGATTTTCAGGGAAATCAACACGGAAAACGCTCCACCAGCCATCGTCAGCTTGGCGATGAAAGTAAATGGAGGAATCACATGACCAGGTCGGCCAACCGCCTTTCTTGCAAACCAGAATACGCTTCTTCGGGTCGGATTCTGGGAAAACAACTATATCCGTGTTGAGCTCGTGAAATTCACCGCCCCACGAGCGAGACCCATAAGATGCGACGGCAAGAAATTTCCCAGACTTGGAAACTGCAGGGCTGTAATCGACGGCTCCGTAAGGGGTCAGCCGCGTAATTTTCTTGTCCTTATCATCGATTTCGGTTGAGTGAAGAGCTGCCCAGCTCTGGAATTGGCGATCGGGCTGCTCGTGAGCTGAAACAAAGTAGAGGCGGTTGTTCTTTAAGATGGGACGGTCGTGAAAGAGGCTGTGGGGCACGGATGCTAGCTGCTCGGGAATGGGTAAGCCAGGGCGAGTGAGATAGATTCGGGCCGATCCTGATCTTTCAGAGACAAAGACAACGGATCGGTCTTCATCGACGAATTGGGCGTTGAAGTTGATGGAGCTTCCATCGGTGAGGCGGTGCTCAGTGGCGGCAGTGATGTGGTTTAGTTGGACGGAGAAGACATCGAAGCCATAGTTTGGCCTGCCGACGGTGGAAAAGACGATGGTGCCTTTGGGATTCATTGGAACTGGGATGGAAGCGTAACTGCAGTTAGTGTTGACGGTGTGTGTGGTGTGGCAATTGTTATAGTCTATCCCCCGATGATGCGACAATTAATACCCATTAAATTTGTATTTAAATTTAACTTTTAAAAAGTATTGATAGTTAATAAAATAATTTATATTAATTATTTAATAAATGAATATTAATTTATAAATAAATAATTGTAAATGTTATAATTAATTAGTTAAAAAATTATAAATAAATAAAGTTATAATTAAATTAATAATTAGTTAAAAAATTATAA